CACAACACAACCTCTCGCCACAATCCTCAGGAACCCCATGGCCAGCGGGAGGATAACCAAATGGTCCCTGATGATCGGCCAGTACAACATAGAATTCAAGCCGAGGCCGACTATCAAGGGGCAGGCACTGGCGGATTTCATTGCCGAATGTACTGCGCGCACCGAGGATGATCCCCAAGGCGGCAATGATTTCAACAACTGGTGGGAGATGTATACCGATGGGGCCTCGAGTGCGCGGGGCTGTGGCGGAGGAGCGGTGATCACTTCACCTGAGGGTTTCAAGGCCTATTACTCCATGAAGTTTGGGTTCAAAGTCACCAACAACGAGGCTGAGTACGAGGCACTGATCGCAGGACTGAAATGTGCGAAAGCACTCGGAGCAGCTCGTCTGAAGGTAAGGATGGACAGTCAGCTGGTGGTAACCCAGATGAATGGGACGGCGGAAACCAGAGAGGAAAGGATGAGGGTTTACAAGGAACTCGCGGAGGAACAAACCGCGCAGTTCGAACAGGTGATAATCGAGCAGGTATCACGGGTGGAGAACGCCGAGGCTGACATATTATCCAAGCTAGGCAATCCCCCAACCAATGACCCCGCGACGAGCATCCCCCGGCACATTAGGGGCTTCGTCATACAAGAGACGCTCCCGGCACCGGCGACGGACGTCATCCAAGTAGAGGCCATCTCCATCGCCGAACCTAATTGGTCGAAGGAAATCGCCGACTACCTCAGGGATGGGACGCTCCCCGGGCCGGAAGATGATGGCAGCTCCGGAAGGGCAGCCTGGGTGAAAAGGCGTGCCCCCAACTTCGAGCTCATTGATGGACAACTCTACAAGAAGACGTTCGGCGGGCCATACTTGAGATGCCTCCCGCCGAGCTATGCTATACGAGGAAAGGGGACCCCGGCCGGCTGCTCCCCTGGTTCAGCTCTTCCTCCTCGACTTCAGGCTCGGGCATCGGGGGCTCTGGGATCTCTCCTCTGGCCTTAGCGTCCTCCCGACGCTGATCCCTCCCCAGCTTCCCCAAAGCTTGGATCAGCAGGTCGTCATCAGTGTTCGCAGCCAAGTCAAAATCGGACCCCAGCAGCTTGGCGAATATGGGGAGGGTGGCCCTGACCCCGTCATTATAACCAGCGGCGAAGGTGCTGTCACCAACCTCATAAAGGAATTTATGGGACAGGGGGGAGCTTTCCAGGATCCGGACGCCGCACGCCAGACGCTGCCGGGGCGGTATCTTCGCTAGAGCCGCAGAGAACACGTCGCCGAAGGCCCCGACGCAATAATCTCTGGCAGAGTCCATGAACTCCCTAGTGTTCCTATAGCCGGAGGTGTCAACCAGCCACTCCGGGCCTGCATCCTTCGCGACGGGGTGCACCGGGACAAGCTTGAAGCCAGCTTTCTCAAGGCTGACCAGCCGGTCATGGGATTCTGCCCGCAGGGCGGCGATCTCCTTCTCCTTGGCCGCAGTCTCCGCCTCGGCTCGACGGGCGGCTTCCCGGGCTGCAGTGACGGCGGCATCGGCCTTGGCCTTGACCTCTCTCAGGTCGGCCTCCCTGGCAGCTTCAGCCTGGAGAACTAGGAGCCCAGACTGGACAAAAGAAGGGAGAAGTAGGGCACATGGTCATAAGACGAACGTCAAGAAGAAAATGTACTCAGATCCAGTAACAAAGGAATACCTGAAGAGCAGCTGCCAGAGCAGCGCTGGTCGCCTCAGAAAACGAGCGGGGGGGGGGGGGGCAGCTCAAGGCCGGCCTTGAGGGCCAGCTCCCTCCAGAGTTCCTCCGCCGGACGGCTCAGGGGCAGAGAGCCGGCGTCTTCAAGAAAGGGCCCGGTAGATGCAGCCTCGCGGCCCCTCTTGTGCTTCTTTTGGGGGGCCTTTTCCACCCCCTTCTGAGGAACCGCCTTTGAAGGGACGACCGGCGGTGGAAGAGCAGCAGAGGCAGCAGGGGGTCCAGACCCTTGGGCCATCACGGTAGCAATCAAGTGCTGCTCACCTTCAGCCGTGCGCCGAGCGGCATCGGAGGCCGATGAAGTAGAATCCGAGGCCGGGGCATTTCTGGCCTTCTCCGCCGCGGCCTTGGCAGCAGCCGCCTTGGCTTTCCTGGTTTTCAAACACTCAGCATGATTCATCTGGGCTTTGTCTGGTGGAGAGCCTGCATGAAACAAAAAAAGGGTTAAGAGACGAGCGGAGAACGTGACAAGACACTCACCTCGAAGGACAGGACCGCCCGATGCCCCGAGACGAGCGTCGAAGTGCGGAAAATTCCAGGGACACGGGCGGTACCTATGCCTGCCCCGGAGAGTGCCTCGAGGGTCAGGTATCCGGCTATAGGGCAGACGCCGCCCTGCAACACCTTCTCCACGTCCCAAATCAGATCGTCGGTCAGCTCCGGTGACTCAATCTTTGGGGGATAGCCATTCCACCGAACTGGGAGAGGAGGGCCGTCATATCGGAGGAAGAAGAAGCGATTCTTCCAATCATGGATAGACGAAGGGTAGCTCTTGAACAGCCTCCTTCCGGGACGTGCGGCCACGCTCAGATAACCATCAGAGTTCTGGGGAGTGATGCGGTAGAAGTAGTGGAACAGCTCCAGAGTGGCAGTGGCTTCCGCAAGCTTGCAGCGCACCAGGAAGGCTGATATAAACCTATAGGAATTTGGCATGAACTGAGCCGGGGCCACCTGGAAGCAGTGGAAGAACTCCACATAGAATGAATGGAGAGGAAACCGCAGCCCGGCTTCAACGGAGTCCAAGGGGAGCATAATCATCCCCGGACGTCTCCTCATCACATGCTCAGCGCCTCTCACGCTCCAGACGAACGGCGGCGGGAAGAAAGTGCGGATTTTGTTAAGAGCCACACGGGAGAGGACTTGATCGTGATCGAGGGCGCTCCTGATCGGACAAATGTGGCGCTCCATATCCATGGGGATGCCCAGATCATGCACCTCCATGTCAGAGCCAGATTCGGCCTCTTCCCCAGAATCATAGTCAGCCGGACGCTCATTAAGGGGGACTGCATTAATGACATCCATCGCCCCGTCGACATTTCCATTGTCAACATTGCCCCCACTACCTCAGGGAGCGTTATCAGGCGCACCATCGGCCTGGATAGTCCCCACGGTCGAGGCTGAACCCGAACTCCCTGAGACGCTAGCCTTTCCGGGGGAGCGTGAACCGGAATCAGAGGAGGAGCCCGAAGAGGAACCCGACGAACCGGAATCAGAACTTGACGAGATCTCTATCGAGGTCATTTTGGCAAGAAGTCAAGACAGAGAAAAGAAGTAGAGGAGGAAAATTACCTTACGAGGAGGTTAGCGGGACTCGGAAGCAGGGGAGAAGACTCGAGGAGCAGCGGAAATTCTAGAGCGAGGGAGCAGAAATTGGGAACCCTAGTCCAGAGGGAAAACCCAGCATTTATAGGCGGGACACCGATGGGGGGAACCAACGAGGGGTCGACACGTTGCAAGGGGCGTATCCCGGCTCACGCGCTGTGCGTGGGATGGAAGCGTAATGATGACACTTCCTCGGGAAATGCACCACCGCTACAGCAGCCGTCACCTCGTTTCCTGAACCGTCGACAGCTGTCAAGCACCATGACCACGAGCGTACGCTTCCATCAGATGCAATAAACATAAGTATCAAGACACGAACGTCTACTTCGAGGGACTCATACTTCATTATGTCCTGTGCATGCTCAGAACATCAGAAGTGGGGGACTTGTGTTGGGTTAATGGCCCAAGTCAGGGTCCGGCCCATTCACCCCTTTTTACCAGACGTACGTCCAGTTAGAACACAAAGCTAGCCTGGCAGGCCCATGTTCCTCCAGGAGGGACGAACGTCTGCAGTTTGGGGTTTAGGCTCAACGGCCCATCTCGACGAACGTCTATGCAAGGACAAGGAGCAGGACCACGGGTCACCGGAATGACAACGAACGTCGTCAGAGCAAGCCCATGGCCATCGGAGGCGGTCTGGTCCACATGGCGAGAATCTGCAAAGGCCAGGGGACGAGCGGCCAATACCCCTTGGAGGCCACCTGGAGCTGTCCAGCTTGCTCCCCAGGCGGACGAACGTCCCCATTAATTAGGCGGGAAACCTAGATTCTGGCGGGAAGTGCATTTAATGCTGAAGATTTGGTGGTTGGGACACCAGCGAACCACAGGCTTCCACGTCAGTACAGCCACCTGCCCATTGGCGGGTATAAATAGAAGCATTTATTTCATTGTAAGAGGTTGGCAACTTTCTATTCTTAGCATTCTAGCTATAGCATTCTTACTCGCAGCACTTCTACTGCCTTGTAAGACGAACGGCCGACGAGCCTTAGCGAAAAGTATTGTATTAGGGAGTTATTAAGAGATAATAATACCTAATCACTTACTTGCTACCTTATTGTTCTCCTTGATCCTTATTACTTGCTAGTTGGGCTAGATACTCATACACACTCCACTTGAAATCCTTGGGCTTACGTGTTGGACCCGAGGGTTGAAGGAATAAACCTCAACAATTACTAATATTTAATCTATTTAATTATATTAATAATTGAATATATGTATTAAAATGCTATATATAAAGAAGACATTGATAATCCGTCGTTCATCTCATTCTAATATATATATATATATATATATATATATATATATATATATATATATATATATATATATATTAATATATTATAAGATAAAAAAAATATGATTTATTGAATATACACATATGTATGTTGAAGTATATTTGTACTATAATTTAAGAAAAAGTATGTATACTTATATAATGAGCGGGTCGGGTCGGGGCGGGTCGGGGTGGCACGGGTCAATACTAATACCCGGACCCGCCCCATTGTATAGGCGAGGCGGGGCGGACCCGCCCCATTTGCAAGACGGGGCGGGGCGGACCCGCCCCAAATGTCTCGGGCCAGGGCGGGTCATTGCGGGTCGGTTTTTTTTGACATCCCTAGTTTTTGCCCCTTTTCCCTAGATTATATTTTCATAATAGTATAAGGGTCCTTCGCCATTTTTTTAAAAGAAAAATTTTCTACAATCGTGTTTGGACTTGGCTTTTGATATCTTGACGCCTTGGCAGTTGATTCCTCGTCAGTCGTCCCGCCCCTCCTTTTGGTGAGAGATAGCTATCGGGCAGCCATGGCTCATGTAGCTGTTTGCCCCGTCAGCTCCCACAAATTGCGGCCTTTTCATTTCAACCTCCGCCCATCTCTGCACATTCAACACCCCTATTTCCAACACCTCAAGAGCCGTAGACGGTTTCATCATCAGATATTTTGCGAAACGAATCCTAATCGCAATCCAGCCGAGTGTTGCCAAACGGCTGATTCTGTAGAAAAGGTTTGAGCTTTCTTCTCTTTCTTTCATTATTAAAACATGTAGTCTGAGTATTTGTTTTCCTTTAACTGCTAGCTACTGCCCGTGCTCTCTGGCTTTATCCATTTCAGTTTGCTTCTTTTTGCCTGTGTGATGGTTTGTAGTGACTCGTCCACAGTTCGAATCTTAGCAGTACATTGAGCATAAATGACTTGATGTGAAGTTTGAGCATAAAAGCTTATTGATTTAAATCCAGTGGTAAAATAAAAACAATAAGTTCAGGTGCAGCGCTGAAATGGGCAACATACACAGCTGTTCTATGGATGCCTCATTCAAGTTATCTTTGATTCCCCCCAAATTCAAATTCATAGGTTATATATGATCAAAGAGTACTGTAGCACCGGCTTTTGTTTTTTCGGCTTGTTTATTACTACCTCCGCCCCACTAATATTGGGATGGAAAAGGGTGACACGGTTATTAAGAAAAGTGTGTTTATGTGGTTGATATTAATTGATAAAGTAATAATAAAGTAAGATTGACTTGTAGCCGCACCAACTTTACCAAATTTGGTATGAGACAATTTTAGTGTGATTTCTCGAAAAGGTAATTTGAGACAATATTAGCGGGACGGAGGGAGTAATATTTTGGGCTTGTTTGTTAATATTTTAATTTGCTTGGTTGGAGGGTTATCTTGTGTACCCACATTGAGTATCTTACTTAAACACCTCAGCCAGGTAATGTTATTATTGTTTTTTATCAATAAAGATATCCGTGCATTCACACGCTAACTGTTTTCTTGCATTCACTCCCAAGTTTTCTGCCATTTCCAAATCCCAATGAAATCTAACATTTTTTTGAAGCAAATGGACCTTAAGAGAGATGCCACACTAGTAAGTTACTGGCTTTACTGTATTCTGCATACGGCATAAATGAAATTTGGGTTTGCGCTTCTAGTTAGTTTTTATTTGGCCAGGGTGACTCGTTGGGCCAAATATTTGGCCAGGGTGACTCATAAGGGTGACTTAAAAAATATTTTGTTTTTATACTTGGCTCACTGCTCACAATCGTTCTAATGAAATGATATACAATGCTTCCTTAAATATTTTTCATTTATATTCTGATGATGGGTCTGTAAAAGGTACAGGTAGATCCTGGCTCTAGCAATAGTGTTGCTAGCAGTGAAGTTTCAGTTTCCTCCAATGACAGTGGAAGGTTTCTTGACTACCCAGACACAAATTTCAATAGGAGAATAGCACTGGTCTCTGCTGTTGGAGCAGTGGTGCTTTTTTTGTCACGGCGACTTGATTTTGGTGTTTCTTTGAAAGATCTTTCTGCTGCTGCTATGCCTTTAGAGAAGGTTTGTCATGTGATATGTATGTGTAGTGCAGATAGCATTATAATGTTCCCATCATTTAGGGTATCTTTGGATCTTGGAAATGGTAGGGGAAAGGAAAAAGTGTTCGTAGAGTTTTTTGTTATTTTTGCTTTATCTTGGAAAAAAACAAGAAATTAAGCACGATTGACCTTGTCGTTTTCTTTTCTTCGTTAGATCACTCAGTCTTTAAATACTCACTTTGTCCCAAAATAATGTTCTTGCTATCCTTTTCTGTCCATCCTAAAATGAATTTATTCTTTCTTTTTGAGGAAAGAATACTGTGGCTCATAAACTTTCTGTGTTCAAATAAGTTTTTCCCCGTAATTTTCACCTTCATATTGAGCATGCTGGGTCAACCCCATAGCCTTATTTTGGGAGAGAGGGAATAGTAAAATAAATAAATAATGTGAGATCGAGCAATTATTTATAGTAAAATTTATGGAGGCTTCACACCAATCTGCATAGAACCCCATAGCCCTATTTTCGTCCCTTTTCTCTAGTAAATTCTGGGTTCCTAAGAGACCCTTTCTCTTGTAGGTTGGATGAATGAGCAAAGTGTTGTTCATTTATTCTGCTTGATTTCCTGAAGGGTTCTTCTTTTCAATTCTATTATCATATGTTTAGATCATCTATATCTGCTAAACTTCCTAGCTTTGTGGAATTTGATTGAAACTTCTCGTTCAATTACTATTGTTCTCCTAATAGGTTTTAATATGCTTATTATGAAGGCCCTTTCAAATGGAAAGCCTACAGTGGTGGAGTTCTATGCAGATTGGTGTGAAGTCTGTAAGGAATCAGCTGCGGACGTGTATAAAGTTGAGCAGCAGTACAGGTAATTTTCTTTAAACCTTTTACCAAAAGAGATTGGCAGTTTCAGCTCAACTAAACTTTATGTTTATTTTTTTTAGTTTATATGCTATCACTTTATGTTTTTGTATGTTTAGAGTGACTCTCCTGTGCTAGGCATTTGTTGGCTTATTAGTCAGATTACTCAGATGTTTCACCAAACACAAAAAACTTCATTCATATATTTCATAGCGTTGGCTGAATATGAAAAAAGGAGTACAAGATTTGGCCAATTCAGTCACAATGGCAGCAGATGTTTTTTCCCCTACCAAACACTCTTCTTAATAAACAGGGACAGAGTGAATTTTGTGATGCTAAATGTGGACAACACAAAGTGGGAACAAGAGCTTGATGAGTTTGGAGTGGAAGGCATCCCCCATTTCGCATTCCTCGACAAGGATGGGAACCAGCAGGGCAATGTTGTTGGTCGCCTTCCAGGGCGGTACTTACTTGAAAATGTGGAAGCCCTCTCTCAAGGAGGGCAAACATCTGTACCCCACACTCATATGGTGGGCCAGTACTCTAATACTGCTGCTGGATCGCGTGAACTCCAACGAGTGGTGGGTCCCAGAAGTCATGGTTAGCCCCCAACACCATGTCATACACACAACTTGCAAACTTGGTGTTTGCTCACTTAACAAATTGTTTGTAGACACACTTTGTTCATAACATTGTTTGCCTCCACTCTTATATTAGAGCAAAAGCCGACCAAAAACATTGTTCATCATACTTTTGTAAATATATTTCCTCTTCATTACCCTAAGGGAGTGTTTGCAATTGCTTCAACTTTTAAAAAAATGATTTTTTAAAGTGATTTTGGGAAAAATGATTAATAGTAAAACTTGGTAGTGTTTGAGAAAAAAGTGATTCTGAAAAAGTAAAAGTGGGTAGTGTTTGGTAAAATAAGTATTTTTTGTGTAATAGAAAAAGTGAGAAGCAGTTTAAAGCACCCTTCTACCTGCTTCCAGCTTTTAGCTTTTAAGTGATTAATTTAAGCAGAAGCTGTCATTTGAAAACACTATTTTCAACTTTTTTTAGTCAAAAGCTAAAAAGCGCTTTAAAGTAATCGCAATCACTCCTTAATTCACGCAAGCTCTTGGCAGTTGTGCTTTCACATTTTGGAAATGTAAACTCTCCTGGAAACGTCTCATTACTCTCATAACAAGAAAAGGAAAAATCAATTATGGGGGTTCGATTTTAATCAAGAAAATGCAGAGTATTTCAATTCCAAGTATATTCAAGTTTCAATTAATAAAGTTAATAAAATATCTGTTTAGCATTGCATTTCTTGTTTAATAATTTGTCCGTTACAAATTTAGTTGTTTTATTTTCATTTTAGGACTACTATACCCCCCCTAGAAATGGATTTGCATAATAAAACTTCATCTACTATTAACTAAAATTTATCCATCAAAAATTAAATCTCCGCTTATGGATGGACTCGGTTCGGGCCGGGCCCGGAACCGGCCCGTGTAACCGCCGGGTCCGGGTCGGGCTGGGCTAGGCCTCGGGTATATTTTTTTTGCCTTTTCCTAATTAACCCCCAACCCCCCCCTCCCACTCACACCCAAACCACCCCAAACCACATCAAATGGCCCAAAATACTCAGCCCAATCCAAAAACTAAAAAAAAAAAATTCAAAAAAAAAATTAAAATGGCCCGGACCAGGCACGAACCGGCCGGGCCGGTTCACGTTTGAGGGGCCCGAGCCCGGACCGGAACCACTCCGGGTCGGGCCTACCCGGACCGGTCCCTGACCGGGCCACCGGGCCGGGTCGGGCCGGAACAGTGGCGGACCGGGCCGGTTCCGGGTCGGGCCACCCGGCCCGAGTCCAACCATATCTCCGCTGTGAAAAATATATTTTGTTACCCTAAAATCTTTATTAAACTTTGTACAAACCAATCATGACAACTGACATTTACATTATTTTTAATTAATCTTTTTAGAGAGGAATGAATTTGAATATTGCTTTTACAGGGTTTAAAAAAACCTTTTTCTTTGACTTTGTCAAATGCCCCTTTGTCAAATTTGACTGCCTTCCCGATTGATTTTTTAGTTAAAATTTGGTATGAGTAAATTAGACTTGATGAAGAAGATGTTCAAAAATTTTCATCGGAAAATTTCACGGGGAAGGCCCTCAAACGGGCTTGGCCGGACGGCTGACCCATGAAGTTTCATCTAGGGCTGGGACTTTGGAACCAAGAACTGGAGAACCGAACCGGACCGAACCGTTATGACCCGGTTCGGTTCGGTTCCGACATTTGTTAGTTATTTGTTAACGGTTCGGTTCCTATTTTTTATTAACGGTTCGGTTCTCGGTTCCTGAAAAAAATATGTACCAGGAACCGTTATATATAATAATTAAAATTATATATATTTATTATGGGTATATGTATTTTAATGTATATTTATTTTTATTTTTATATTACATTCATTACTTTAGTTTAGTTATTTAACTATTTAAAATTATATTTTCAAAAAGAAAAACTATTTAAAATTATTATTCACTTCAACCCGTTCTCTTAGGCTTCTTAGACATCTCATTAGGTCCAAACTCCAGCGGGTCGGAACTCAAAAGGTCCAAAGTATTTAAAATTATTATTCTCTTTAACTGGTTCATCATATTTGTATTGTAATTTCAAACGTTGAATGTCTTTTTGACAAAAATTTAGTCGTGATTGGTAAGATTTTTTCAAAGACTAGGAACCGTTAAATGACAAGAACCGAACCGTTAAGAACGGTTCGGTTCCTTATCGGTTCTATAAAATATTTTATAAGAACCGAACCGTTAATAAAATTTCATATTTTCAAACGGTTCCACATATTTTACCTAGGAACCGAACCGGTCCCAGGCCTAGTTTCATCAACATCCATGATTGTAATGTATAACTATAATTATTTGAAAAGTGACTTTTTCTTGGACATTCCAAAAAAGAATACATGAATTCTAAATAGAGGTGGAGGTACTGCTGTGATGGATTAGTAACAATACATACGTAGTATTACAGAAAGTCATACATTTTGTCATGTCGTGTCATTTAACCCATAAAAAGCATATCAAACCATCAAATGAATTCTCTTTTAAGTAAAGAATTTGTGGTTCCAGTTAATTCTCTCTCCTCTGCACAAACATCAACCACACAGCTTTTACTTTATTAATCCCCGTGTCGGTCAAACTTGGCAAAATTTTGAGGGACGGAGGTAGTATTGTTTTTAAGAAAAACTATCAATTCGGTCGCCTCATATCACGAAAAAGTCAATTAAATCTTCACACTATAAAAAATCAATCAAATTCCCGAACTTTGAAAAGTCAATCAATTGAGTCCATTAGCAGGTTACCCAACACATCAGCAAGTCACCTGCTGACATGCCACACATGTCGTAGCCCACTCAGCACCGACTTTGTTGATGTGGCACACGTCAACAATTTATCGATGACATGTCGCACACATGGACCGCCACATGTGCACCATGTCAGCGGGCGACCTGCTGACGTGGCAAGTAACATGCTAATTGACTAAATGGAATATTTTCCAAATTTCGGGGATTTAATTGACTTTAAAATAGTATGAAAACCTAATTGAATTTTTTGTGATAGTATAAGTCATTGATGGGTTGAACTTTGAAAGATCAAATCCGATCGGAAAGTGGCTCTGGACCATTCTTAGAAGGTGTTTCCAAAAAATAAAAATAAAAATTTGTTTTTCAACTTTTGGCTTAAAAAGCTGAAATGAGTGTTTTCAAATGACATCTTATTTTCTTAAATTGAGCACTTAAATGCTAAAAGTTGGAAGCAAGTAGATGGTGTTTTACACTACTTTTCACTTTTTCTATTAAACAAGAAACGCTTATTTTATCAAACACTACCTACTTTTATTTTTTCAGTCTCAACCACTACCAACTTTCACTATTAAGCAATTTCTCCAAAATTACTTTAAAATATCACTTTTTAAAGTAGAAATAATCTCAAACACTCCCTTAATATATGTTGATTGGCAATGCTTGGATAATTTAAAGGTACTTTCCTTTTTTTATACATTTAATTAATTATTTAACACTCCATTTTTTCGATATTACAAACCTCAACCAGTTGGGAACAATAAGGTGTTGATGATATATTGATATTGATTTGCAAATTGCAATATGCAATCTTGTGTGTTTGGCTAATTGCCATGTTCATTATCTATCTATCATGGAGCCAGCACTTTTATTTGGCTTGCGAAACAAAAAAAAAGGTAAGCTGAATGGGATAGCAGAGCGTGAAAGCAATGCATTGCAGAATTCCATACAGCCAATGGGGCCTTAAGGCCTACTAGAACATTAAAGAGAAGTTTAACTCAAATATTAAAACTGGGAAGAATGGATCTTCAGAATGATCTACACATACTGTAAATTTTAATTATGACTTGTTACACAATCTAATTATTTGGGGTGGCGCTTGGGGAAATGCAACTTGATGAGAGCAGGGAGTTCAGCAAGATCCACCTCCGACTTACCAAGCAGAATACTCCTCAATTTTCCATCACACTTCACCAAGTTCTTGTTATTTGGATCCTTTGAAAAATAACAAAAACAAAATTTGGATCATCAATTAATACATGCCCCAAAAGCAGACAGCAGAGAGGATCTCGAATGCAACTTGAAAAGAAAAAAGCTTACCTGGAGACTGTTCTCCTTGATGTAGGACCAGATGCGCTTGAAAGCCCCCAAGCGAGAGGTCTGGGACTGACCCATAAAATCCCTCATGGTTGAAGGGAGATTAACCAGGTCGATTAAGTCTCCTAATTTTTTTGGGTTTTCCGCTATGACTCTCTTCATCTTCTGAGGCAACATCTTCTTACTATCCCTTTCTTCCTTTTTCAAATTCTCCCTTTCTCAACTGCACTGGAATTATTAAGATAATGTGTCCATTGAGGAAATCTCTTCTCGCATTTATGTATACCAAGAGAAAAAAATGGAAGTAAAGGTGTGATCTTTCTTTAGTTAATTTCATGCTGGATTGGAACCGCATAAAAAAAGAGTAATTTTATCGAACACCTTGACCTCACCTCAAGTTGTAGCTTCCCTGCTGCGTCGCGTTTCTGTGTGTAAAAGAAATCCTTCCTTTACGGATGCCTGGCACTTGGGAATCGGCCAACAGCGAGAGCTTAGCAACCTCTCCACTCGGCAACGACGGTTTACGGGACGAAGGCAGTCCAGTCCGACTGGGACTTGCAACGAAAGGACAGACGCGAGCAGGGATGGATTTAGGGGCATAGGAGTAAAAATGTTTTGAAATTCCAAAATAGGAGTATCATGTTTTTATTCCCTAAATAGGAGTAAATTTCTGCTAAGTTTGGAAATTACAAGGCTTTAAACATGTCATTTTTTTCCAAACTTGGCAGATTACTCCTATTCAGGGAATAAAAAACATGATACACCTATTTTGGAATTTCAAAACGTTTTTACTCCTATTTAGGGTAATTTCTGTTTTTTTTACCATATACTTCCTAATTAGATTCACCCCCCTTAGCTTTTAATTTTCAAAATTAATATATATAGTCTTACATAATGTAATACTTAATTGGAGATTTAAAAGAAGAAACATCTAAAATAATTCATAACTTAAACAAATAAACAATAGAGTAACTCGTTATTTAAGATTTAGGATACTTATTATATAAGAATTCCTAGTTTTGTAATGTTTAATTATCTTTATTAGATAACAAGTACTGGATTTCGTAAAACATATATCAAACAATATTAAATACCAGACACATTAATTACACAATTTTTAGATCACGTGAAATGAATCCAAAATATAAATATTTATAGACATTAGATTACATAATTCATTTACTTCTTGCTTTCTAAAAATAATTTATTGCATGGATAATAAACTCTAAATTATTATAGAATTAATAAAAATATTAAAATATAATATGCACCATATATATGTGTGTGTATGTGGTGCATATTATTCTAAAAATAACAATCTCATACATACTAGTATACTACTATTGTAATATTATGAAAACTTTTCATGAGTCATGACTCACGAACACCCTCCTTGGTGGACAAAAATTACAATTCAATAACCGATTCATGAGGTTAAGCAATGTAGACGTTATTAAAAATGTATTGGTTGATGTCTTTGTCATCGTCTAAACTTAGAATGTATTAGCTTTAAATGTCGTTCGGGATATGCATGTATTAATGTCATTTTTTGAATAAAAAAAGCCGCATAGCCCTACAGTAGCAAAAAAAATTCGTCCCGCTATACTAGGGGAAAAAAATTCACCCCGCTACACTAACAAAAAAAAAATTCACCCCTTACACTAACGAAAAATTTCGCCCCCCTTGACTCAGAATCTTGGATCCGTCCCTGGACGCGAGGGAAGAGACTAGTAGTCTGGTATCCGCACTTGGCAATCTACTTTCTCCACTTTTTTTTCCCACTTCGTTCAGAGGTACCAGCAACAAGCGGATTCCTAATTTATGACTCCGATCCCATTTTAATAGTCCTTGGTATGTAGTTCTGACTGAAGTGGCTGCATTCGGTGATTTTGTTGTTTTTTTGAAAAATTATTTTTAAAATATATTTTATTAATAAAATAAAGAAAAATTATGAATAAAAATAGCTAAAATGGTCATCTGCAGTAACTTCAGCCAATACAGCTATAAAAATAACTTTAGCCAATACATCCATAAAAATAACTTCAATCTTACTTTTTCTGCTTATGACGTAATTCAGCGCGCGAAATCAAAAGTCACGTTTTTGGTGAAAAAGTTGACTTATAAGTCTGATAAGTCAAAAAATATGCCAAACGGCCTCTACTTTTGTCTTTTTACTTTCTTTGTTGAGTTATCCAAAATTAAGTACTCTCTCCCTTCTTTATTAGGGAGTAAATTAGTAAATATCTTTTCAGGCTTGAGCACAAGTTTTAAGAGGAAAATAGTAAGAGTAGTATGAGACTTGTAGGAAAGTACACATGATAGGGGGTGTTTGGAACCGATTATGCTTCTTTTTTAAAGCAGAAGCAGAATCAGAATCAGTTTTCAGAAGCCGGTTTCCCCCAACTTCAAAAAAACCGATTCTAGGAGTAAATTAGAGCACCAGAAGTACTTATGTACTTTCACCCAAGCAATTTTAAGTTTTAAGAATCAGATCCAAACACCCCATAGTATAAATAGTATAGATTACGGAGTACTCCGTATATATTAGTGTTGAGCAAAAGCGACGCTGAATGGAAAAAGAGATGGCAACGGAAGTACAGATGACGAAGGCTAGCCGGGATAAGGGTCAGTTTGGTCCTCGAAGTTGCAAAAAAGGAGTCAAATAAGTCCTTATATAGAAGATTCTGTCCGGAAGTGTCATTTGAGGTGGTTCCCGGTAGAATTTTTTGATGAATTTTTTTGAGCATCTTATTCATTAAGTCTAGTTTACTCATATCAAATTTTAGATAAAAATTCATTAAGTCTAGTTTACTCATAATCTTTTATATAAGGACTTATTTGACACCTTTTTTACAAGTTCGAGTACCAAACTGACCCTTTACTCTATTTTACATCCTACCAAACGTCCCCAAAGGGTCAAATAGACCCTTAAACTAGCTTAAAGTGTTCAATTAGCCCTTATATAGGAGGTTCTGCCCGGTCGTCTCCAATTGGGGAGGTTTCCAGTAGAATTTTTTGATGAAATTTTTTGAGCATATTCTTCATTAAGTCTAGTTTACTCATACCAAAATTTAGCTAAAAATTCAACCGGGAAGGCAATCAAATGGTTTTTTGAAGATAACTGCGCATTTAAACAGCACAATACATTTCGGAAAATCATTTGACTGACTTCCCGATTTAATTTTTAGCTGAAATTTGATATGTGTAAACTAGACTTAATGAAGAAAATGCTAAAAAAAATTCTTCAAAAAATTCCACCGGGAACCTCACCAATTGGCGATGGTCGGACTGAACCTTCTATATAGGGGGGTCGGATGTACGCAATCTTACCCTTGTACTAAAGTACAAAGAGATTGTTTCCGGATGACCCATAGTGAAAATCGCGTCCAAAATTGCATGCACTGACGGTTGCTTCATAAATTAATCAATGAATAATAATAATATTACGTGTACAAGGGCTGCCAATATGTAATATGTTTACAGAGCTACAGTCAAGTGAAAGAATCAACCAGTTGGTGAATATATATTATAGAATATCCTTTTTACATTGCCAAGCTCTCCACCTCCAATTAATCATAGATGAAACCAAATGGGCACCTCCTCTTTCACCATTGATAGATTATGTATTTGCAGAAGAAGTCACATTGCTAGCTTCTTCACATTTGTCAGTGCTGAAGCGACAAACCATCAGGAACTCAAGAAATGCCAACTGTTTTTCCTAGCAACCAGAGCACCAGTGACATTTCTATACCAAATATTGTGTGAAGCGATGTCCGGTCTAACATGAACCCATAAATAGTTATGCCTGCTCTATTGTTCTCAAAGTAGGTAACTGCAGTACACCAACAGAAACGATAACATGGAATGTTTTATAAAAAAATACTCAACTACTGTTGGAGGCTAAATATGAATGTTAGAAGAAAGCAAATGAGGCCGGAAAAACATGGGCTTACCCAATGCTTGTCTTTTTTGGAATGAAATTGTACTGTAGGCGTATGAGTGAAGAAAGTTGGTATTGTCCAGCTCATCTTCTTCATCACCAACATCATCGGTATCAGAAGATCCATCAACACCACTATCACTACATGCAGGGGGGGCAAAAGAGTTGATGGCTGGAGCAGCTGCAACACTGACCCGAGGAGTCTCACCATCAACCGAATCGAATGAGTCCATTGTGGCACAAACATGCCACTTAGCTGCAAGGCATGTCACACCCTGTGCCTTGTGCGTAATCCTCGTTGCACTTCTCAGTAGTATCATGAGGCCTGCAAGAAGGCTGAGTGAGCAGAGCGCAAGTTCACCGCTCTTATAGATATGGAGATCTGCAACGGCACGTGTAGTGACGAGAAGAGATGCAAATTGACTAGCTGTAATGAATATCAATGCCCATAAGATGAAAGCGCGGTATCTGTGACTTATAATCCGCAAGTAGCGCCTGATCCTCAGGTGCTCCCTCAGCACACACTCTACATTGGAGTCCTGATGGAACACCTTAGCAAAATCTTGTAGCCTCAGAATTTGGAGGTAGCAGATAAGACGAAACAGAACACAGACCAGGAAGAAAACTGCTGTCCTGTAAAGCCATGAGCACAACTCCAGGGTGCAGGCAACCGCATCACTCACCACAGCATTCCCTAGGAATGGGATTTGGGTCCCACCTGAGCTGTACCACCATATCTTGTATGCCCCTTCAGCACCAAGACATGGCATCACGAATATCAGAAGGACATAAAGTGATCTCTGCATGTTCAGTTGCCAGTATTATGAGTTCATACATAACAAATCCAACTCAGTTTTTTTTCTTTCATTTTATTAGACCATTTGAGATGATTTAACATGTCTATAAGAAGCAAGATAGTATAGCTCCTTGGCGTAGACCAGGATCTTAGACACACAGTACCTCAGTAAATTATGAGTCTCAGTCATTCCTAATCACCAAAAAGAATTCAATTTGATTGCCCATTCCTTCAATGCCACTTTTTCAAATTGAGAAAGGAAAGAAAGAATAAGTCAACGATTTACAACTAAGTCCGAGTGTCCGACACGTTTACAGCTAATGGTGCCCACTTTTATCTTTCTTTTTGGGACATTTGCTTGCAGGAAATATAAATTCTATAATATGCATATAATAAATTTTATAATATGCATAATTTTTCAAACTAATACTCCGTAATAGACTAAAATGTAAATCAAACTAATTGATTCCTTTTTCATTTTTGGTTAGGGAATTCCGACTTTTAGTTAGAAAAAACAACACACTGTACATAAGTAAAGATCCGATCATCCGAAAACAGGGATGCACCCACACACATGCCTCTTCTGTTCACAAATCTCCAAATTGCAACAGTTACCGAAACTTCGTTCTTCATTTTCTTCGATTTTACAATACAATATATGAGTACATACCATCATCAAATCATGAAATTTCATACGGTCAATAAAAGAATTGTAATCAAACAAGATGGAATTCGCAACGAAAATTGAAAAGAAGAAGCGAAAGCTTACATCGAGCTGTCCAGTGTACCACTGCCTCACAGCCTCGCTCTCGTCGCACAGCTTGTCGAAGAACAGGAACCTGCGGAGGCCGTATTTGCGCACGAAGGTGGAGAGGGAGACGAAGGAGAGGGCGGCGACGCTGCTTAGGGAGAGCTGAACGACGGTGTCGTAAGGCCGGCTGTGGCGGGCGTCGCAGTCGGCGCAGGCGAGGAAGAAATGGGAGAAACAAGGGACGACGACGGTCATGAGGAGGAAGACGGTCCAGGAGAGGGCGGTGGACCAGGGGTCGGATTGATCAACGCACATCCATTTCAGCCAGGACCTGAAGCTCTGCAGCTCGTCGAATGCGTGCGATTTTAGTCGCCCGAACGTCTTGTTGCGATCTCTCAGCAACGGTTTGGAGCCTTCATCTCCCATTTTTTTGCCCACTTTCTTCTTCCTCCGCAACCGAGCGACACGAGGCTAGATGGGCGGGGAGAATCAATTTCGGGGTGTCAGCGACTTTATATAGGCAAATTCTACACTACTCAGTAATGGGAGAATTAAAATATAAAAAATAATTATATAAGCAAACAAATTGAAGAAATATTACCAAACAAAAATCATACTATTTTTCGGTTTGGTTTGGTTTGGTTTGGTTTGGTTTGAATTTGTTATTTTTTAATAATATATGAAGTTTTTTTGAATTTCTTTAGTTCGGTTTGATTTTGTTCGGTTTTTATCAGTTTCGGTTCGGTTTAATACGATTTGGAAGAAATAGTACCAAACTCAAACCAAATTGCATACGATCTGGTTTCGATTTAGTTTGGTACGGTTCGGTCAAACCAAACCGTTATGCCCACCTCTAATATGAATCAATTACTCAGTAAGTTCGTACTAGGTTTGGGACAAGTTCAGTACTTACATAAAATTAGTGGAATCGTTACAAAAACCTTAACTAATTAAATCGGTTCGGTTCCTATATAAAATTTCAAGAACTGCTATAGAACTGAACCGATAGTAAATGGTTCGGTTCTTATTTTTATCGGTTCTTAAGTATAAACTTTTTTCCATACAAAATTTTACACAATTTACTTTCTACAACGCAAAAACGTCGAAAATTCAAAACAAAAGCAATAAATACTTTTTGAAGCTCTTATCACATCAAACGTCATGTCCAAACTTAATTTATGTTGGGTGTGTTCCGAAAAACAAAGAAAATTAATTAATAAAAATTAATTAAATAAAATGACAAAACGAAAACAAGAAATGAGATGAAGCAGAACAAGTCAAAGCTCGTGCAACGCACGGTTTCCTTGAAACGTATTCGTTGCCTCCCGGAGTGCTAGGAGCGTTGCAACGATCGTTTCCCAGGATACGATGGCTTCGAACGATAGTTTAGCACACAAACTAAAGTTCCAACGAACGTGAACTAAGCAAGAGCACAGAAGGAATTTTTGGGAGAAGGCCGGAGTGTTTTTAGAGCTGGAAACAAGTGCAGTACGTATGAGTGTTGTGTCCTTTTGCAAACCAGCACCCAACCTTATATAGGGGAGGATATTAGGTGTGTTTATGGCTGGTTAAAGGCATATGGACGTTGGGACATCAATGCAGTCCAAAAAAACGTCCATATGAACGTTAGCCATGCATTAGTGGCATCTGAACGTTGGCAGTTAATGGAGCAAAAAAAAAAAACGTCACCGAAGAACAAAAATTAAACGTTATCTGTAGAAGATAGATTTTCGGACGGCATTCGTGTGTGCAGGTCGGCCGCACACGCAAGTCGCGCTTTTTGTTCTTCGGTTTCGGGATTTGATCCGCACCCCCCCTGCGCGCGTGAGAGAGCCTTTCCCTTTAGGAATCTTAACTCCTTCGGGGGGTTTCTGTAACACCGCCCCCAAGTATTTGTACTTTACCGAATTATGTATTGAACTCTGGGAAATGAATAAATGCATTTTTCGTAATTGTAAATGTTTATCATTTCTTTTACGTGAATAGTAAAATTCATGTGGGGCCCACACCAGAAGTGGGGGCCGCCCGATATTATCGGGACCACATATTATATTCATTTGGGTCAAGATGATATGTGTATAATGGTGGATAGCCTGGTTGGGCCATAGGAATCATGTGAGTAACCTGTTGGGCATATAAAGCCCATTTATCGGTACCGAAGTAATATCAGATAAAAAGCCATAATGAATTATGGGGACCATCAAATTAGAAGTTGGGGAATATACATTCATTCTTATAGCCAATAATAATTTGAAGAATGATAGATATTTCATTTTACCCGATAAAATGAAATATTGTTAAAACAGTCCGGAAAATACAACTTTCGGGGCCGATTATACATCTCGGGTCACAAAGGGATGACCTCCCACATGAGTGGGGGCCATCCCCACGTTTTTGGTCTTGCAAAGGGCAAGAGGAGCCGCACATAGAGCTGGTGAGGGAGGCTTGAAGTGATTGAGGGACAAAATGAGAAGGAGAGGGGACCCTCCTCTCATATTATTGCTAATAAGTCAAAAGGGGAGCTTCCATCACCCCCACACTTCACCCACTCGGCCATACCACCTTCTAAGGGAGATAGAACCTCTGCAAACTCCATTTTTATCCACCATACACGCACCAAGCTAAGGGGAAGAAGAAGGAGAGGAAAAGAGAAGAGAAAAGAGGAGTTTAGGTGGGAACAGTTGTAGCTAACAAGGTAACGACCTCATTAATCCCATTTCCTCTCTTTAATCCTATTACATACTCCTAGGATAGCTCTACACATGTAAAGGTGTAGGATGGGAGTTGGTGAGTTGGTCTAAACCCAAAACGAGCTTTGAGAGCAAAGTTGACGGGTTTGCCGGAAAATAACCTTTTAGAGGTTATTGGTGTTGACATGGGTTTTATGATGATAAGACCTTGTTATTAACTTGTATAAGGTATTCCAAGAACTTTCACGGAGTTGAAAGGGTCGCCGGAGTTGTCGCCGGAGTTCATTGAAGTTCACCGGAGTTTCACCGGAGCTCAATCGGGAAGGGCTAGAACTCCATAAGCTTCATTAAGGTGAGAAGACGGCTATATGCTTTATAACTTTTGATTGAGGCATGAGATTACCTAAAGTAATCAAGGATATGTTTCACGGAATGATTAAAGTTAATCAAGTATGGGCTTATGCCATGAATATATATAAAACAAAGTTGAAAGGCATGTTTGTATGTTTGGTGATTAAAAATGTGATAACTTATTATGTACAATGATCCAGGGGTCAAAAATGGTATTTTTGGATCAAGGACTTCAAGTAGAATGTGCATATAAAATTTCACGTTAATCGGACTTCGTTTGGGCGGTCAAACGGGCGTTGACCGCCGAGACAAGGGTGATACCCGACCGGGTAAGATGGATACCCGACCGGGTATTGATTAAATTCGGCTCCAGAAGCCACTGTCACACTAGACCCGACCGGGTAAGGTCAGAGACCCGACCGGGTCTCAAGTAAAGTCAGTTCCAGGGGCTTCTGCCCGGCCCTACCCGACCGGGTAAGGTGGATACCCGACCGGGTATTGGTTTATACTCAAAACGGGTAGCTTTTGAGTAAGATAACGTGGACCGATCAGGTGGGACCCGTCCACATTGGTTACTAAGGATTATTATATGACTATAGGACTAGGTATTGTCCATAGTTAAGTGAATGCAAGGTTAGCCATATCCAGGTTAGGGTTTGGTTAGAAATACGGTTGAGGTTGAGCATCCTCGGGACGGTAAACAATCCCAGAAACTCGGTGGGGTTGAGTATCCTCGGGACGGTAAACAATCCCAGAAACTCGGTGAGGTTGAGTATCCTCGCGACGGTAAACAATCCCAGAAACTCGGTGAGGTTGAGTATCCTCGGGACGGTAAACAATCCCAGAAACTCGGTGAGGTTGAGTATCCTCGGGACGGTAAACAATCCCAGAAACTCGGTGAGGTTGAGTATCCTCGGGACGGTAAACAATCCCAGAAACTCGGTGAGGTTGAGTATCCTCGGGACGGTAAACAATCCCAGAAACTCGGTGGGGTTGAGCATCCCCGGGAGGGTAAACACTCCTGAAACTCGGTAGGATATTATGAAGGTAGAATGTAGCCCGTGAGCTAGGCATTCAGGAATGAATGGGAAAGGTTGGGTAATCGCCATACCTCTAAAAGACTCTTTGTGATAAAACGACCTACGGGTCAAGTATTTTACAAGTATATACAATATGTATTATCTTGGGAATGGGGGTAACAATGGTTACACCTATAAATATAAGTATCACCCTATTTTTGGGTCTCGTGTCTGAAACATTAGTTATTCCTCATATAGCCTGCTTGTCACTAGTACTTCTATGGAGTACTGACCCCTTCGGGGGCCCTCACATTTTTCAGGTTGAGGCTAGAGTCCTGCTACCTGCACCTTTGCCCAGGGTGAACTCAAATAAGGAAGACGTGGTTCGTGCTTCCATTCTTATTTGAAATTGTGAAATTGCTCATGGATATTTGAACGATGTTTTCTATTAAACTATTGAAGGGCCTGTGTGCCCGTGTTTGCCACATGTGGCTGAATGTCAAACTTATTTTATTTCCGCATGCATTTGACTAATATATTGATGTTGATCGTATGGGTTTACTAATCGGTTTGGCAATAGAAATCTTTCGGACGCCTTGTGCGATTTGATAAGAATGAACTACGTTGTTCTTATTGGGTTGTACGGCGGTTGTCTACGTGGCACGGACGCGGTCCGGGGCGTGACAATTAAGTGGTATCAGAGCCATCGATTTCTAAACTATATGATTAACCTCTCAATATAGTATCATTAAAAAGTTTTGAACAAAACCATGAGCAAAAGTTTTTGTACTTAAGGAACCGTTGGAAACCAAGTTATTGACCTCTTATTGTTAAGACGGTACCCTTAACAGTTTGTTGGCCATAATGTTGGACCAAGTGGTGTCTTCTGTACTATTCCGTCAATTAACATTGATACGAGTCTAACGGCTCATTCCAAACTTCTTTCAGAAATGGAGGGAAGACGCATGGCTACGAGGAACAACCCGAGAGGGCAAACTCCGGTGACGTCCGAAGGGGCTAGCCAGGTTGCATCTCGGGGCGCGAGAGGCGGTAGGAGAGGCCGTGGAGGCCGTGGAGGCCGGGGAGGTCGTCGGGCTCAAACTGTGAGCGATGGCCATGTTAGCTCGGTGCATGGAACTCACACCGAGGATTACGACTCTACATATGTTCCCGAGACGGAACATGAGGAGACCCCATATGATGGGGGTGATACGTATACTGATGATGACAACGATGAGAGTGATGCCAAATTCGCCCAGATGGGCGAATTATTTGAATGGTATCAAAAGGAGAAGCTAAGAAGAGATCTTAGGCGCCAAGCTAGGCGTGCTTCTCAGGGAGGTTCGGGTCAGGGAAGCCGGGGAGCTTCAGTGGCCATTCCTGTGGCGACACAGGGGGTACAGGGCGGAGGATTCTGTGTAAGAATCTCCAAATACCTCAAGGAGGCGAGGGCCTTGGGGTGTAAGTCATT